GAGGCTGTGCTACAAATAACCTCCCTCTGGGTAACTGGAGATAGCCACGGTCTACCAAGTCTGTCTGCTGTTGGACCAAGAGTTCACCTGTCATAAACCTCCTGTAACTTTTGCCTATAAAATTGTTCCCACTGTTATTGGGAATCACAAAATCCACAGCCTGGGATGAGTTCTCTCAAAGGTGTCTCAAAAATAAGTTTTCTTTGGAAAGCAAATTGGAACAGATTTGGCATCCAGTGGCTCCTCAGTAACCCTATTTCTTAACGTGAGCAGATGGAGCCTGTGGGATGCTGGGTGTCAGGAGGGGACAGGGCACAGATGGGAGAGCGGAGGCTCCTTGCCTGACCTTGCAGTACTTTGCTTTACTCAGCAGGGCCATACCCTCCTCATTAACTCCAGAGGAACATGGATGTTACCAGCCTAGCTTTCCTAACTGACCCAGGTCAGTGGCTCCAGCAGGTTCTTCTAGCACCAATGGGGTTCAGTACCACCTCAAACTCCAGTAGAAAACCAGCTAACCCATAGCAAGCTCTTTGCTGCCGGAGCTGCAGTGCTTCCCAGTACCAAAGCCAGCTAGTTCAACGCTTGCTTTTAAGTATATCCTATAAAATAGCTAAACACATCAGCACCTCTGATGCTAGCCATTGTTGTGGGTTTGTTCCCATTTGTTTTACCAATATTAGACTGATTTTCAACATCTGCTTCAGCATCTTGGGCTAATACTTGTTGAATCCACAGCTGGGACTCCTAAAAACTAATGAAGCTTATATGAACAGTATTGCCTATATTGCTTTGGTGATGACACTACATAAAAGAAATGTTTCACAGGTATCCCCCACACCAGCCCAGGTGTGCTCAGGTCCTGAGAGGCTGGGTGAGCAACCAGAATGCTTGGAAAGGAAACAAGAAATAAAGGGGAATTAATAGTCCTGTAAACAGAGGAGCAAAGGAGAACAGTGCAAAATACAAAGGCAAACCTGTTTGTTTTTACACCTTGTTCTTTCTTCTGTGTTTTTTGAGGGATTAGAATTCAGCAGAAATGAAGTTATGTCCTTCATATGGTGCTGCTTGTATTGGTTTTTCAATGAATTTCTGCAACTTGCTGCCAAGCTGTGGGCACTGAAAATACACAGAAGAGTCTGTTCAGGGACGATGTTGGTGGCGTTTTTCTGTTTTGTCTTAGTGGTTTGGATTATTTTTTTTTTTGCATTCTCTTATTGCACTGCAACAAAAGCTTGTATACATTCTTTTTATAAATTCTTTCAGAGACTAGTTCTAAGTCAAAAGGATAAGAAATCTTCATTAAAATACCTTCCTAAGTTTCTCTTTTAAAAATGCACTGAAAAATATCACCAAGGGCTACAGGCCAGTTAGATCACTAATGCCTTTCACTGTCATCTGGAATTGTATCTGTACCAGTGGCTGGCCAGTTTTGCCAGTGATGGGCTGGTACTTCTGAATGAAAATAATTGCACTCTACACAATACTGAAACTGAGAGCTGGTGGAAAAGATTTGCTTTCCAGGTCTATAATGCTGATCATCTGTCCTGAAACTAGAAATTTAATTTAGCACTGCCTTAGGTGGAAGAACCTTTGTTTTGCTTTCTTTCTCTCTTTCCCCTCTGCTGTTTGAGAGCTTTGCTGACCTGCAGAGGTCTGACAATCTCCTAATTCATTTGTGTTCTATAGTCTGGAGGTCGGGACCTGTCTCCATCACTTCTCTTTTTAAGGTCTTAAACTTTTTTATTCCAGCCCTACAATTGGGATATGAGATGATCTATAAACAGACTTGTTGTTCCAGCTAGGTCAGGTTTTCCATGGTGTCTTACCATATATATTTTTTTTAATCCCCTGCTTTTTCTAAATCTACCTTTCAAAATTGGAACCACTGTGTTCTGCTCTGATTGGTGTCTTGCTGTGGGCTACTCGCCCTTGGATGTTTCCACAGCTTTATTGGCAAACCCAACAGAATGTGTGCTGTGCTTCAAGCAAAGAGACCCCTCTGTTGAAAAGGTTTATGACTTTCATGATGCAAGTTTAGAATTTAACTTTTCATTCTGTGGAATGCCCCCGAATATACACATCTGACTTTGCCAAATGAAATGTTGGTCAGTTGAGCTTTGACAACCTTCCCGTGGAACACCTTTGCTGTTGAATGGAGCTTTCACTGACCTGGCCATTCTCTCATGTCACTCGTTTTGCCCCAAAGCAGACCTAGCAATGTCTATGAAAAGCAATGAGACCGGAGTTGGAATTATTTCTCCTGCTAATACCTGCAGTTGCATTTTGTTGTTGCTGAAGTATCACTGATGGGAAGGTACCTCCTCACGTGCATAACTTAGGTTGGAGTCTACAGTCATTATTTGCAGAAATTTTCACTGATGTGTACAGGCCAAATTCTGACCTAGTGAAAATCAGCATATTTACTCTAAAACAAATAAGATGTGAAGTTAGACTTCATTAGTTAGTTTCATACGTTGATTAATTAATTAGCCCAAATAATGTGTGCTTTATGCTGTTTCCACAAGAAAGAATTAGCTAGGGAAACGTCAACATTTAGAAGCTTGTTATAAACCACACTAAATGTTCCTCTTATTTGTGTTGGTGCATCTGGGACGGACAGTCTTGTTGTCTAATGCACTAAACGGGGGCTCAGTTCCTGTGTTCAGACTTCCTGGCTCTGCCACCAACTTCCTGTGCCTGGATAAGGCTCTTCATGTTTCAGTTGCCTGTTTGCAGAAGGGGGATGGTGTCCCTCTGCCCATCTTCTTCGGCCTGAAGAAGCAGGTCTGTCTTCAGCATGTCTGTATAGTGCCCGGCAAGAAGGCATAGAATCATAGAATGGTTTGGGTTGGAAGGGACCTCAAAGATCGAGTTCCAACCCCCCTGCCCTGGGCAGGGACACCTCCCACTAGAGCAGGTTGCTCAAGGCCACATCCAGCCTGGCCTTGAACCCCTCCAGGGATGGGGCAGCCACAACTTCCCTGGGCAACCTGTTCCAGTGTTTCACCACCCTCATAGTAAAAAATTTCTTCCTGAGATCTAATCTGAATCTTTTTTCTTCCAATTTAAAACCGTTTCCCTTTGTCTTATCATTACACCTCCTGGCAAAGAGTCCCTCCCCAGCTCTTCTATAGGCACCCTTCAGGTATTGAAAGGCCACTATGAGGTCTCCCCAGAGCATCAAATGTTAAGCCGGATCTAGAAGTGTTGCTGATGACTAATAGGGAAAGTTGGCTGTTTTCCTTTTTTCACAATTGCAACAATATCATGTGAAGCCCAAACCACCCTGAGCTGCGCTTTGTGGTGGGATTCCTGAAGGCCTGACTTCAACAGGTTCAGAGCATTTGGCACTGTCCAAATAGAAAGTGGGCTCCCACGTTCAAGGCAAGAAGACTGTTTTAACCAGGCTGGGCCATAAGGTAAATGGGACTGTTGTCCATCTCTGGCAGCTGCTGATGGACAAGCCCATGTATCATAAAAGGGCCATTGTTCATGGCCACCCTGACGACCTGCTGCTAACAACAGGCCACTTTCATCAGCTGAGCTGACAAATTGGTTTTCTTCTGCTGCAACTTTGAGCCAGCTGTTGCTTTACAGCAAATGCTCTGGACAAAAATACAAGGCATCACGTTTCCTGTTTGGGTACTATCTCTTTGGACATTACTTGCACTTTGTGATAAGAAACTAACACTGAAACATGGCCAGTGTCCCACTGACTGGGACGCAGTTGGTCTAATTTTAAAGCTGGAAGCAACTGGTATCTTGTACTGAAAAACACTACACTTACAGAGCTCTCTACCCTCTGCACAAACTCCCCAGGTGAATAAAGCTCTTACTGCTGCTACTACTTCTCATTCTTTTAACTGTTATCTTGTAATGAGTAAGCGCATACTCAAAATAAATACACTAAAAATAAAATGTGGTGATCTACACACTCATGATTGCCAGAAAGTTATGGGCTTCAGCTGAGACAGGTATGACGCTCATGATTGCCAGAAAGTTATGGGCTTCAGCTGAGACAGGTATGGCAGGCCTGTGGTGAAGAAGCTAGGAAATATGAATATTTGCTATCTATGGTCTTAGAAAAGTCGCTTACTCTACTCTTCCTTGGTTCCCTGTCTAAAAAAAAATATTACAATAAGAGCACTCTATGAAGATGCTGAAAGATATACTGGAGAGAGAAACAGTCAGATACAGATGACATCTGTGTGATGCAGAGAAACCTTGCTGGCCAGCAGTGGTTTGGTGCCACTGTGTGCATAATTGGATTTTTCCCAGAGCTGATGTGTCACATAAATCACTGGCCTGGGATGCTCTGAATCAGTAGGATCCAACTCTCTACTCTGAGGTGGACATGGACACAGGCAGTTGGGGTCTGGGTCTTCAGAAGTACCGCAGCCAATCTTGGGTCTTCAGTAGCATTTCTGCCACTGGTGTTACCACTGGGCACTTGGTAACTCCCTTAGTGTTGACGTTACTGAAAGGTCTGTCTTCCCAAGGCTCTCAGAGAGGCAAAAAAATTAAAGGAAAATTAGCAAGGGTTTGGGGTTTTTTTCAGGTAAGAAATAATTAGCCTTTCTCATGTGCAGCTGAAGTCCTCAGATAAATTGGGTAGCAGGCAGGGAGGCATGATTTTTACTTTTGGATGGTGGATGCATTTTCTCTGCAGGTTCTGACAAAATTCACAGAATGGCAGTAGGAAAAATCACCTATTTTTCATATAGGGATGTTCATAAAGTGCAAGTAACGAACATTAACAAAGCTCTGCAAGACCCTTGAGGGGAAAGGTGCTGAAGAAACATCACAGTATCATCATTATCTGGAGGAATTTAAAAGATGTCTTGATGTGGTGCTGAGGGACATGGTTTAGTGGTAACTTGGCAGTGACAGGGTAACGGACTTTTTGACTTTAAAGGTCTCTTCCAACCAAAATTATTTGATGATTCTGTGATTCTCATTGGTGTTACAGTGCAATACCAATGTTCTTCTCTCCCCAGAACACCTTGGCGAAGGCGCTATATGACAACAAGGCGGAGTGCTCCGATGAGCTGGCCTTCCGCAAAGGTGACATCCTGACGGTTCTGGACCAAAATGTCATTGGCAGTGACGGCTGGTGGAAATGCTCCCTCCATGGCAGGCAGGGCCTGGCCCCTGCTAACCGCCTCCAGCTCCTCGCTGCCTCTCAGGCTGTCCTCCTGCCTCCTTCCACCCGGAGAGACTCCGCAGAGTCGCCAGCGGGCCAACAGGGCCAACAAAACATCTACCAGGTCCCCTCCGTCCCCAAGCCTACCGTGTCATCATCTACCTATGAGAAGATGGAGGGATGGGTTAAATCTCCAGCCAGGGTCTCTACCCTGACTGCCCAAGGAATCTACCAGGTACCAGCCTTGGCTGCACAGCTGCTCAGTGAAAGGACCAAAAGTTCAACAAGCCAGGTAAGAATATAAAAGTAACAAACGTTATTAAAACAATCACTGGGAGCAGGAAAATAATAAAGGCCGTTGGCCTGAGCATTTCACTGGAATTTGCAGCAAACCATTCAAATAAATGATGTTTAGGAAACTCTCATCAATTCTACTACAGTTTATATCATATGTGAGAAATGCTGCTCTGGGCAACAGATGAGAGCCTCTATATTCTGCAGTCACTCATTTTTTGACAGTTTAAAGCAGCTGTAAAATAGGGCAGGAAGTAAAGAACATACCATTTGTTTGGAAGAATCTAGAAATGATTTACAAACCTACCCCACAGTTAAAATAACAAGACACAGAACTTTCTCCTCTGATCTACAGCAGGTGTCCATCCAGAGTCCTCTGGGCACATGTGGGGTCCTTGCATCCATCTGCACAGGAAGATGATTTGTAATAATTAAAAAAAAAAACAAAACACCACCCAAACACCTCTTTGATGTGTGATTGCTGCCTTCGGTCTAATTTACAGTAAGATTCTAGCACCTCAGCACACTCAGAGAGCTGCTGCCTCTCTCTTTTGCAGTGTTGTCACTGCACTTGCATGAAGAGGAGCACCTACTTCAGACATGCTGGAGGGCACAGGGTTTGGTTGTGTGGCCTGAATCAATTCCTCTCCCAGCCTGTTTTTGCTGCTGCTGAGACAGTGACCAGGGTGTATGGGATGATGGCTGCCACCAGTCCCCTGTGTGGGAATTGCAAACCTGGTTTTCCAGGGTTTCACTACAGCTGCCTGGCTGGAAAGTTGTGGAAACCTAGGTGCTGGTTCCTCTGCCTGGCAAATGGAAGCTGGAAAACAGACAAACTCAGTGCATCTCTGGTGACTGAAACCTAATTTTCAGCGCTGCAGCTGCGTATTCAGCCTTTGTGTACAGTCACTGTAACTGCAAGCTCAAACCGAGTACCGGCTAGAAAAGACCCTTTTGCACTTGCTGTGATCTGATTTCTCCACATTCCTAACCCTAAAGAAGGCATTTGCAAACTGAATGCAGGATTGATCCAAATTTTCTATGTTGTGCCAGCAAATCAGGGTGAAAATATAATCTCTTATTCTCTATCCAAATGAATGGCCCAACTGAGCAGCTCCTTGGCTGTTGCTGTGTCTCTGTCATTTCATGAGTTTCTCTACCTAAGCCTTGTTTACTCTAACAGAGAAAGAAAGGAAAAAAAAAAATATCCCTAGCCTGCTTTTATTATTTAGAATCTCAGACTTGCCTGAGCTGCCTCTTGCACAACGTCACAGCTGTCCCTGCCCCAGCTGTGCCATGGTGCACACAGATGGATGGGGAGGCTCGGGCTGAACCCCCTGTGCGAGCACAGAACGAGCCGCAGTGCTCCCCACCGCCCAGCCTGGATCCTATGGGACAACTGGCAACGTTCCTGGCATTCCCAGCTGTCCTCCGAGCAGCTGGGGAAAGCCACTGAGAGTCTTTGAGGGAGCTGATTGAAAGCAATAAAACAAAACAAAATCCCTCAGAGCCTGTGGGTTTCCACTCTATAGAAAAGACTTGTCGATTCTTTATTTGCTGCCTAATACACAGGGCACCTTCTTGCTTTACTGTCACTGAAAGTATTTTAAAATAATTTGTTCTCGAAGCGATAGTAAGGTATGGTATTCAGTGAGTTTCCTTCTTGCTATGTACTGAGTAAGATCTGTCCATCTGAAAACAGACCTGGGCTAAGGATGGCTTTCTTACCACTTATCTTTTATCCTTTCTACTCAGGAAAGTCTCTTTTCTGCCTCTGTTTGCAAGTGCCATGGCTCATATCACAGAGCGCTGAGGGGATTTGTGTTCACCCATCCTTCCCTTCCTTCAGATGAGAGCTAAGCGCTTTCACAAAGACAAGCAAGCAGTTGTAAAGCTGGAGTCTTGTTCCACTGCTGTATTTCCCCAAAACTTAGTCACTACAACAGTCACTTGCATGACGGAGAACGCTACCTCTAATTTTACAGAATTTATTGTAATGCAGCACTGTTTCCGTGGGTCAGTAATTTACAATATTCCATTTATAAATTAGCTGCCGAGAGCCAGGCTAAACTTAGGCAAAATGAACAAAACTACATGATTTGGGGGTGCATTTTTATAAACATCCTTACCCAACGCTCATATTTTGGCATCTTAACTAATTGTCCCACAGATCTCATCACAGCTCTAAAAATGATGTTTTAAGCAAACAGGAGAATTAGCCTGTAATTGACTCAATGTAATTTTCAGATCAGACTTCTCTGTTTATGGAGCTGGACAGGACACCAAGGTAACTGTTCACTCCTTCCAAATGAGACCATTTTTCATAACTACAGAATAACGTGTCTCAGCCTGTACCCTTTTGGTGCTTTCACTCCCGCTAAACACAGCTTGACCTAATGGCTCTGTGAGACTGGAGAAGTAGAAATTCCCCCGCTGGCTTTTTTTTAGTGGTTCTGCTTTTGGGTAGTCTAAAGATTTAAGTGATAACTGAGCTGGATTTTCTCCAAATCTTTCCCCTCCCTTTGTGTTAGTAAGGCAGATTGCCTTTGAGTCGTATGTGCCAATTCTTGTCTTAGCTGAAATAAAGCAGAAATGCTGTCAAATGGGAATTATAGGGGGAAAGTGTCCTTCCTGATTGTAAGGTTGGTCCCTGTCTGTCACCATCAGCGGAAAGCTGAAAGGTTTTTAATCACTTAAGAGTGATTAGTCTAATGGTGGCCTATTCAACTACTTGAGTTTTCAAAGATGTCCTGAGCTTCCTACTCCCTGTAGCTTTCTCATTATTGTTTTTCCCCACTACTAGCACCTCCTTACTCTCCCGAGAGCGTGCCGGGCTTCAGTCCCAAATATCAGGAGTGAAGTGTACGATGTCCCATCCACACAGCGCCGGGAGTCCTTACTCACCCAGGTGAGTCCCACCGTGGTCCCCCTGTGCAGCTGCCACCCTGTAGGACCACAGAATACATTTTAAGGTAAACGCTAGTGTTTTCCTGTTTCTGTAAAATTATTGTAAAATTTGGCAGAAACCTAAATACTTTTTTTAGGGAAGTTCAGAACCTGAAGCGGTTTTCTTTTGAATTTGTTAGACATCTAGAGAAATGTGTCTTGAATTTGGTACGTTTTTAACAGACACTTTCAGTTTTACTATCACTGAGTTCCAGGGAACAGATGAACCCTTCTCAGTGTCAGCCTCTGCCTTGATTTGTCCATCAGGAAATGGGCTTTGTCTCTGTGACATTTGATTGGGAAGATTTCAAGATCTTTACAGAAGAGTCAGTAGTGCATGTACAAAAAAAACTCAGTGTCACCCACACCAACGGCCTCCTGGGCAACAAAATACAAGGGATGAGATCATGTAACCATGACGCACTCAGGGTGAGGGCAACACTTTGATTGCATCTACCACTGAAGTCTCTCGTTACACGATCTTGCTCTTGATACCACGCTGCCCTGGGGAGAGTGAATGTCACCATGTTCCTCATCATCTCACTGCAGCCTGTGCAGGTCACCAGGATGGGACAGGTGCCAGGTTCCAGCAACATCCCATCACCTACCACACAAAGGTGTGTGTGGGGCTGGAGCACATCCATGGATCCTCCCTGAGCATCTTGCCCTCCTCGACAGCACCTGGCAGTGCAGGGTTGAGCCCACCCTAATTCATTATCAAGTTATCCACAGACTTCTTTGTGTTACCCACTTTGTCTAAGTGGTGGATCCCTGCTTGGAGCCAAAGCCAGGAGTGCAGGTGGTGGTTGCCTGGCACCATCTAGTGCCCACCACCCTCCTGTGCAGCGCCATGGAAGGTGCTCCAGCAGCTCTCCAACCGGTTGGGTTTGACCCACGATGTCCCAACTAGGAGCTACACACTCCATGGCCCGAAAGCTTTTGATTCCACCAAAGTATTCCATGGATTTTAAAAAGGATTTAAGTCAACCTGATTTTTTTTTCCCTTTGACCAGAGTGGTGCCACTCCACCCACCACACGAAAGGGCTCTCTGCTGGTCAGATCCACTGAGGGTTTCCAGGAAGAGCAGAAGCATCTTTACAACATCCCATCCAGCCCGGAAAAGGCAGGAGCTGTTATCCAGAAAGACTCACCAGTGGGCAACGTAAGTATGGCTTGTTGGACACAAGAGAATAATCTCTCATGACTATGATGCTGGGCACGTGTGCTGAACCTCTCTCAAGGTGATGGCTGGGATAAGACCAGAACACCTTTAGTCTCCCTCACTTGTCCCTCACATAAAAGAGAGAAATACTATCTGGCTCCTGGGTAGCTGGGGTACCTACCAGGACCACGGGTACCACTGTGTTTGCATTTGCTTTTTAGACTGCAGGCAACAAGATCTCTTGCCTTCTTTTTATGACAGCATGAAAAGCAAATTCAGTACCCTAAATTCTTATGTCTGTTTGTAATATTTAAGCAGAAAGAAATGAACTGTCCCCATTCCATGCAGCACTCTACTGCCACCTTTTTGGGGAGCACACCTGGCTTTGGGAGGGGTCAGGCTTCCCATCCCCACTGTTTGACAAGTGCCACCCTTGAAGGCTGATCTGAAATTTCACAACAAAGAAGTTGCCTTGGTGGAAATTCTTTATTAGTTGAGTTCCCTGCACAGTTTGAGGATCCAAGAGAATTTTGACACATGGCATGTGTGCCAGGGCTCAGGTGCAGGATCTCAGGGCAGACCATCCCAGGACAGGAAATCTGAGGCCTCCTGCTTTTGTGGATTTAAAGAGAAGTGCCGTAGGTTCATGGCTGCCCCACAACTGGAGGGGCTGGTCTTGCAGAGCCTGCTCAGGAGGGACAGTAGGACAGTAGGACAGGTGCCACCCAGAACTGGGGCACTGGCATATCAGTAATCGCTCACTGGAGCTGGCATTCCTGACATCGCTGTGGCTGTTAGCAATTGTACCGACCAGCTGCAGCAGACTGGGAGCAGATTTCCTTTTGGAGACACGGTTTATCATTGCTTCCAAAATAAAATTTTCTTAGAATTCTTTGTCCATGGGAAATTTGGAAAATTCTGGCTTTTCTCTGAAACACCCTGGTCTGGGCTTCCCTTCTCACGCATGTTTTCTGCAGGTGGGGGGATCTGACCTGGCCAGTTCTTTCTAAAATTTTTTATTACACAGTGGTACCTTCATTTTTTTCCTTGTTGCCGCACACTCCTATAGCTCCCTGTGCTCCCTCATGCTTGTGCTTCATGCTTGTAAGACATCCAGGTGCCATCTGTCCCAAAGTGCCCGTTAGTATCAGTCTGGATTTTCTTACATAAGAAGTGCTCTTTTATTCGCATTTCCAGTTTATAGACCTCAGCTGTGCATACCCGTATTGTTAAGGCATTGGGCAAGATCTGTATCTGCCTTAGCAAACCTATATCAAGTCAAAATTTAAACTCATTGCAGTTATTTGAGAACGGTAAGTTGCATCTGTTGGTGGATTTTTTAATTGTTTTTTGTCATTCATATTTTGCATATGAATGTGGGTGGGGACACTGGAAAATCAAGTGTTTTCTTATGCAGAGGCAAATAAAGTCTTTGCTCCTTCATTCTGTAAAACTGGGTGTTTAATGTCACCTACCAATAAACTGGCATTTCACTTTTCTTGTAGCCATTTCAGAAAACTATAGGAGTTTCCCACCCCCAAGGAATCAGGGAAGGGCTCACAGATTTCACTGGTTGGGGACACTGCTGTGTGATTTAATCACCTGTGCTCAAAATACTTTAACCTTCCTACGTGCAGCTTGTGCATTTTAGAAAGAAGATAAAAATTATGGGCTAGCATTTTTGTGGTGCAGTTCCGTTGGCACTACTGGAATTGCATACACTTGCATGCTCTGAGGATTCAGTTTTGTTTCTTATTTCCTGTATAAAGCACTGCTTACAAATTCTGTGTGCTCTGTTGCAGTTATATGATGTCCCTCCCAAAAGAGAAACTGATGTTTCAGAAAACGAGTCTCAGAAAAAGTTCTGGGGCCGCTACAACACTTTGCCAAATCCTCGAAAGTCAGAATGGATTTATGATATTCCAGTGTCACCTGAAAAAACAGGATTAAAACAAAACCCTTCTGGCCAGTCCTTGGAGAACCAGGTGCTGTACGATACACCACCCACCAGATACAAGGTGCTAACAACAAATACTGAAGCCAAAGTTGTAAATCCACAATTATATGATATTCCACCAACACAGCGGAAATTAACACTTCCAGATATCCATCTTTATGATGTTCCATCCTCACGGGACATGCTCCTTCTGCCACAAAACGGTAGCTGTGATGTACCCCCAAGTCTCCTGGCCCCAAAGGCTGAGAATCAGATCAATGAAGAGAATGTTTATGATATTCCAAAAGGTTTGCCCACCGCTTTGCAGTCCAAGAAAGAGATGGAAAAAAACAGTGATAGCTCTGGAGACCAAGCATACACTGCTCCTCCACAGATCTCAAGAGATGCCAAATCAGAACAAGACAGATTATCTGTGTCGAGCGTGGACAGCAGAAGCAGCACGCTCTCTACATCCTCGAAGTCTTCTGCTGAGTCTTTTTCTACATCATCCTCAGAAGAGCCTGCCAAAGAAATTAAACTGGACCTTGACGTAGCGATAGAGACGCTGACTAAATTGCAGCACAGTGTATCCAGCTCAGTTGCGAGTTTAATGATCTTTGTGAGCAGTAAATGGAGATTACAAGAGCACCTGGAGAAAAGCATTGAAGAAATCCACAGAGCAGTCGATCACATAAAAGTATCCCTGGGAGAATTCTTGGCCTTTGCTCAAGTCATAAAGGTAAATGCCTCTTACCTCACTGATAACAACCTTCAGACCAGAATTAAAAAACAGCTAGAAATTCTTATGAACTCATCCGAAATCTTAACGGAAACAAGAGAAGCTCTAAACAACTGCAACTGGTCACTAGAGGCTTTGATCCTCAGGAAACCTCAGAACAACCCAGATGATCTTGACCGCTTTGTTATGGTAGCCCGCACGATTCCCGATGACATCAAGAGGTTTGTATCCATCATCATCGCCAACGGAAAGCTTCTCTTCAGAAAGAATGAGAAGGAACCAGAAACGAAGCAATCAAAAGTGCACCCAGAATACAAAATGGCAAAACAAATCATAGTGCCAAGAAGAATAGAAGTAGATTCACTTCAAAGAAATGCTCCTGATAAACCCAACCAAAGTAAAGTCTCTTCTGAGAAACCACAAGAAAATGCCACTGAGGACTGCGATTATGTTCAGTTACAGGTTAGTATAACTGCATTTTACTGTCTATATTCTTGATTGTTTGCAGATATTAAGCTATGAGCATTATTTTGTCTTTGCACTTGTGCCAAATTCAGCTTGCACGACTTCCTATTTTCCAGACTTTCTGTGAATTCAGGATTTTGTTAGAGTGCTAGGTGGCACTTGTAGAACCATCAGTAATTTTAAGTAATAAAGAGAACTGGCATTTGAGAACTTACCCAGGCAGCCAGCACTGGGAAGGGATTTTTAGCTTGCCTGTTTAAATTCATTTGAGAGACAGCTTTTAGCTGGGAGTTAGCAATTTGTTTCTTCTCCTTTTGACTAATAGTTCTTTTCTTGCCAGTACATTTTGTTTGTTTGATGTGAAGGGATAACTGTCTAACTTGAGGTATATTGGAAAGCATGCTTTCATAGAAAACTTTGATTTAATAAATTAAACTCTTACTGTGAATTACCAAATGTATTTGTTGGGATAATTTTTGTTGTTTGTTAGAATCATTGTCCTTAGAATTACTGAAATGCCTACTAAGAATATAACCCTCTTGGTTTCACAAAGAAATGCTGGCCTATCCTTAGAATTTAGGAATTGTTATTTTTTGTAGATACTGGTTTCAGTCTTAGATCTTGATGAAGGATCAGACACCTACAGTTGCTTTTAATAAATGTACCATTGTTGTCTGTAACATGAAGGCTGCATAGCAAATAGTTGTTTCCCCCTGAAATAAGAGAAGAACACATTTATATCTAAATATTTTATGTACACCATTTCAACTTTGCTTTCATTTTGATTTGTAACAGGCACAGAAAATCATTTCAGGTAAAGAAGTAGGAAAGAAGAGTACAGATTCAAAACCAAAGGTATTTCTGATTTTGAAAGCTATTACTTACAAGGACTTGTCTCTGATTTCTGTGCTTGCTAAAACTCAAAATAATTTGCATTTGGACACACATAGAGATCGATTTGTTTCCTCATAGTTCATTTTCCCAGAACTAGTTCTTAGAATTACTGCTTGAAAACCCGTGCAAAACATTTGCTTTCCTCTAATGTAACAAGCCACTCTAGTTTAAAATCATATTATTTGTTTGTTTGCCTTTGTCTACCGTTTGGGATAAGGCTGAGAGAGTCAGTATTTCAAAATACCTGGACATGCACTGGTATCAGGATTCATTCTCTCACTATTGTACAGTTTTAATCATTCATAACCCTCATGAAGTCTCCTCCATTAAAGATCAAGTTGGACTGTTTTGTACTATCTGAAAGCTTGAAGTCCAGACTGTAGAAAGGGTTGATGTTTAGCTACAGCACTTTGTGTGCTATCTGTTGTTAAAATTATGTTGAGCGAAGTCTGTTTAGGGAAAAAAGGCAATCAGGAGAAAATACCACTTCGAAGTTTAGTACTCTATGGAAGGAGAAATGATTGTAGGAAACTCCTGGGCTGGGCAATTTGGAGCATATTAACTAACAAAACTCCCTGTAAGTGAAGAAACATGGGAATAATACAGGGTAGAGCAAATGAAGAAATAGTGTGCTGCTGTGCTGAGATTACTTCTTTTTTTTCTTTTTTTTTTTTTTTTTTTACCTTTTTTTCAGGTTTTGCCATCTGCAAAAAATACTGTCACACAAAGCAAGCAGGACTCTGCAAAGAAAATCACTCTCCCTGAACACTGTAAGCTGTGTTTCACTGCACTTCACAAGGCAATTGGTGTATTTACAAATAGTCTGAGCCACAACCAGCCACCTGAAGTCTTCATCTCCCACAGCAAATTTTTTTTTTTTTTTTTTTTTTTTTTTTTACCTTTTTTTCAGGTTTTGCCATCTGCAAAAAATACTGTCACACAAAGCAAGCAGGACTCTGCAAAGAAAATCACTCTCCCTGAACACTGTAAGCTGTGTTTCACTGCACTTCACAAGGCAATTGGTGTATTTACAAATAGTCTGAGCCACAACCAGCCACCTGAAGTCTTCATCTCCCACAGCAAATTGATCATTATGGTGGGACAAAAGCTAGTGGATTCTCTCTGCCAGGAAACTCAAGAAAGAGATGCTCGGAATGACATTCTCCATAGCAGCAGTCGGTTTTGCAGCCTCTTGAAAAACCTGGCTCTTGCCACCAAAAATGCTGCAATACAATATCCAAACACAGATGCCATCAGGGAGCTTCAGGATCAAACTGAGGAGCTCTCGAAGTACACACAGCAGTTTAGAGCAATGATGGAATGAAAGACACTTTGCTGATTTTACACACTCTCTACTGGTTTTGCTCCTGTGGCACATGGCAGCCAAGGATGACAAAAGCAGCTCAATGACACCAGCTTTCAGTCACCTCTAAGAACTCCTTCCCGGCAGCTCCCTGGGTGCTGGTGTACTTTTAGCAAATGAAGAAGATGATATGTAGAATTAAATCTGTATTTTCTTCTCTGTTGTTCAGATCCTACCTGGAAATGTCATCATCTTAATGGCTGGACAGGAATGTTTGCTGTGCATTAGAACAAAATTATTTTATTATCTGACGGGTTTCTTATTTTTTAATTTCTATATAGGTCAGAGAAATTAATTTTCCTCTCTTTTTAATTCGGGTATGTAAAGTCTCCACATTTTGCTGCACAGTGTTCTGTAACTTATGATACCCCATCATCAATTGTTTCCTGAGGACATTACTCAAAATCTGTAATTACAACTTTTTAAAAAAACAGCTGCAAAGCTAATTTTTATTTTTAATATATGTATGTGATGAATGTGTTACGAGACAAAGTCTGGCAGGTACTACACGTAGCCTAGATGTTAATGGCAAACATTGCCAGAGGAAAACTGCCTTGGAGAAGTCCTGGCTCCTGGTAGATCCATGGGGAGCGCGGCTCAGTCCTCCTCTGCCACAACTTGAAGCTGTTCAGAGCATTACTCCAACTGAAACAGGATTTATTTTAGTCACTAGATAATGCAGAGGCTTTGGACAGGCCCTTCCTACAAACTGGAAAGGTGATGTTATTCCTTGCTGGGCGCCCAGAGCCCCTGCCATGGCCAGGCCGCCTGGGGCTTCTCAGAGCAGCCATCCCTGCGTCCATCTGTGTAACTCATTAAATTATCTCTTTGTTTGCTGGATCTGAAATACAGCCACGATGAAGGCCCTGGAACTATCTGGGCAGAGTCTGTATGCTTGCATCACTTGTATTTCTCCTAATTAATTTATTTTAATGTTTTTATCTGAAATTTCGAAGTCTGGCCTTTCTTGGCAATGTTGTACCTGTGTCTCTGCTCTGAAAATGGATAATTAGCGCTGTGAGAGGGCAGAGCTCATTTGCCCTGGGCCAGGGCCTGTGCCCACGGCCTGTCTGTGGAAAAAGCAGCTCCCTCCTCTTCCTCCCTTTCATTCACTTGGCAGTCACTGTGTTTTATACCGTTATTTAAACGTCGACATTTGTAAATATTACTATCTGCACAGTTCAATGCATTTCATGTCAGCTTTGTAACTTTTGTATTAAATTTACTTTTGGAATCACTGGCTGTACACACCCTGCCATCGCCCCCTCCTGCCTCAGCTGACCCGGGCAGGCCGGGCCGAGGGTGGGAGGTGTCTCCTTAGCGGCGGACAGCCTGGCCCGACGCGGGGACACCTCATTTGGCCCTAAATCCCCCAAAAGTAGGTGTCCTGCGGGGCGTTTCCTCACAAAATCCCGTTCCGCCGCGGCGGAGCTGACTGGGAGGCGGGCGGGGCAGCGGCGCCGCCACGGGGGGGCGCTGCGGACCCTCCTGCGCGCGGTGGCACATTCCGGCCTCCCCTCCCTTAGCGGCCCGGATGGACTCGCCCGTCCCGCCCCGCCCCGCCCCTCCCGCCGTTGTCTCTCTAGCCCCGCCCCCAACCGGGTGGTTGCTAGGGAACCGCCGTGACGCAATCAGGGCGCGCCGGAAGTACTTCCGGGGGGGGGGGGG